TAATAACTAGAATGGAATTAATAACTAATTAAATTAACGATTCCCCAACAAACAATTGGTTATTGAAGAAACGACTTTTTGACTATTTTAATCAACTGCATGCTTAATAATACTTGTTCTATTTTGAATAATATCTTCTGTTGAGGCTTTGTTCACACAAATCTGGAGAATTTATTCAACCACAATATCGAAATATTTGGTGTTGAATAATGTACGTCGAGAAGCTTTTATTCGACTTACAAGAGTTGTAACAGAGCTTATTCGATAAAATTTTTGATTATTCAGCATTTATTAGACATCATTACTTCCTTAAACAGCAATGGGATGGTATAAAGGTGTATATAGACGCTTGATTCTCATGTAAAATAATGTTTAATTAGACACTATCATACATTTATTAAACGATTATTCAACTGCGGGATAATTAATCCGAAAATAAGATCGGGCAGAGCAGGGTTGTTCTCGTTAGTGATTGTTGTGTCATTATTTCTGTCGAAGCACGCACCCACCACACAGATATTAGAAAATTTATTACAAACATACATAATAAAATATAAGTAATAAAAGCCTAAATCTGAATACCTATCAGCACTCCAAGTCGTAACTCTAGCTAGTTCAAGGAGATGTGAGAATGATTAATTCATTCATAGTTGATTTACATGAGAACAATGTTACCTCTCCATCTCTTTCATTTCGATGGAAAGGATGCTGGACTATTCTTTTCGATCGATCGATGAATTGGTTGTCGTCAGTGATACGATCTATGATTACAATTTAAATTAATTAAGCGTAGAAAATAAATAAAAAAGGGCTGAATTCGCGACCTTCTACTTGGAAAGCGGAAACGGTAGCCACTATGCTACCAATTTCGTTTTGTTGTTAGCCTGAAACAGTGTTGTGGAATAATGAATGAATACGCCGTTTGTAAAGCATTTACAAATCATGCAATTAAAACATGGACGCATAGTGGTATAAGAGTTATTATGCAGACTGCATTCACCTTTATTCAGCAATATTGTTAAGCAATGCAATGGAATCTAATAATGGAGCTAGAAAACAATTATTAGACGTATAATAAAGCATTTTATTAAATCAATTGAAAACAGTCGAATTAAAGCGTCAATGTATGTGTAAATTACACTTATTCAGTATGTTATTAGATCAAACTTCTAGTGTTGAATCAGGAAGAAAATAAAAATAAAAATTAAAGGAAAAATTGAGAGAAGCAGAAAGAAACGGATGGCTGAACGACGGTGCAATACGAAGAAAAAAACAAACGGCTGCGTCCTTTGCGTATGATGACCGAAAGAAGGAAACGAAGGAATGGATGGTTTGTCCCCCGGAAAAAAACTAAGTACAATAGTTTTGTGTTGCGTTAAATCACAGAGAACAGACATCCAAGCTAGCATGCAAGCTTAAACAAATTTTTCGAAAAATCATGTGCAAGCATTCAAATTAAAATACGTTAGAAACACTAGCGCCGCCGTAAGGAACGTTGCGGCTCGAGTTATCAAATGAACTGTCAATCAGTTCAAAACAAACAAGACAGAACAACGGGAATCAATCGAGTTTCTGCGGAACCATTATTTTCGAATAAAAAACTAAGCTCTTCTACAGTTTCTTGCAGATCTACAACCGTTTTTCGTTCTAATTTTAAATGGGCATAGAAGTCAGGTGCAAAACTGACTTTTTTGAGTTCACTGACGGCGCATCTTCAAATGATTCAGTGAGGGTGTGAACTCCAATTGGCCCTCATTTAAATTCAAAAAAATGTGGTAACATTTGACACTGCTTACCCTACATCCGTTCTTCCAGGAATTCGAAAAGCTTCCGGGGGGAAGTGGTCGGAAAATAAATGTTTCGTTGCAAGCGCTTGGACTCCACGCGAGAATAAAATCTCCTGTGGTTCGGGCAATTCAGCATCCTTAGGAAAATTGTGAAAAGATTTTCGCGTGGTCACATCTTGTTTATTTGTGCACCAATAAAACTCGCACTTGCGGCCCATCTTTTGATCGGTTTTAAACAAACAATGTTTTGCTCACAATAATTTTGACATTTATGTTAAGATGACGTCTGCCGGTCATCGACGTCGATGGGCAGCGGCACTAGTGCCACCACGATATTGCTAGTTTCAAATGTCTATTCAAAATAGCACTTATATTTTTTACACACTTTAGGAATTTGACTTGGATGTCTGTTCTCTGGGGTTAAATGTAGAGGGTGGGTTTACTCGGGAATGGGATGCAGATTTTCCGGAAACGTACGGGTGTAAAAACTGCAGCAATGTGGGTGATGTTTGCTCAAATTTGGGTGGAATTTTGCTCATTTGTAGGTGGATACACTTTTTGCGCTTTTTGAGTGATGTGAAATCGGATTTGAGTAGCATTTTTTGTCCGAGAATAGAATGGTAGAAATAGGCGAGACTAAAGAGCCTGAATTTATAATTAATTGAAGCGTTTGTTGTAATGCCATCTAGTGTCAATTTTTTAATAGCCATAAATTATAGATGTAATGATAATACGCGACTAGAAAATGGTTCCTAGCGACCAGTTCACTTTTCCCTACTTTTGATAATTTTTCTCCTTTTCTCCTTCTAATGTTGCCAAAAACAATGAAATGTAATGTTATGAGATCAAATTTGTTCGTTTGTGGTTATGTTTATTTTTCCTCCTTTCTTTCTTTAAGAAATTTTACAAAATTTGATTAAGGTAGTATTGGTTCTGCCCATAGTTGATAATAGAAGAGTTACGCAGAGTGAAGCTTGCAACACTGATGTCGATCAATGGGCATTTTATTTTTTTTATTTTGGCAACCTTTGTTTGTGTTTACACCTCGGATGATTGTGAAAGTTTCCTCTAGTTTCGATAACAATACTTCCCACGCAAAAGAGTCAGTTTGTCTACTGTGCTGGATAGGTAGACGGTTTGACAGTTCGATAGGTAGATTTTGGTTTCAGTCTGCGTAACTCTTCTATTATCAACTCTGGTTCTGCCATGGTTATTATATTTGGTGGGCTTGTTCCAGTTATGTCGTTTTCGTTTTTGCGGTGTAGCACCACCCGAGCAAAGTGTGAGATCAAATTGAAAACTAAATTTGATGGTGTGATTTCGCTGATAATGATTACTCAAGCTGCTGTCGTTTTGGTCATTTTAACGGTTAGAATATCAAAAAATTGAGAACAACAAAATCTTTCTCTAGCGGCGCCGGTGGTGTAGTGGTAAGCGTGATTACCTCTCACCCCAGCAGGCCTGGGTTCAATCCCAGTCGGCGCCGCCGGGATGTTCTGAGGCATAACATCTTTGATCACGCCTTCCTTCGGAAGGGAAGTAAAGCCGTTGGTCCCCGGTTCATGAGTTGATGGGTCGATATGTAGGGTCCAGGTGTGGGAGCTGCCTTCCTGGCTTCGGTAGCATTGGTGCTCAGCACGGAAAACAAGATCGACGGAAAAAATTCAAGAAAAAAAAAAAACTTTCTGTGACATTACATTGAAAACTTTTTCTACTATCAGTGAGAGCAAACTGAAAACTCAATTTGAAATCAATTTTTGCTGTTGATAACAAAACGAGTATTCAATTTGATTTTATGCTAAGGCAAAAACAAACCCAAAATCACATGTTTTTGAAGAGCAAATGTACAGCAACATGAAAACAAAATTTGATATCAAATTTGTCAATTGCGTAAACTGAAATCAAATTATGATTTCAGTTTGATGTTAATATCAAAACTTGATTTCAATTTGCTATTATTTTGATGCTGGACTTTACTCGGGCAGTGTTGTATAAGCAGAAATAAGCGCGAGTCTTTGACAGCTCAACATCATTTGTTTGTAAACAAACAACCCTGAATTATTTTTTTTTTTTTTTAATTATTTTCGTTTTAATTAAAACGAAACCGATATAAATTTCGTATAATTTGTATACATCACAAGAACTTAAGTAATCTTTCATTGATTATGATTCAAGTTGAAAAGACATAGAGATTTTGGGCCTACGGGAGAAGAGGTAGTTAAATTATTTTCACTCCCGCGGGTTTTCCCCTCAATCAATAAAAAAAATGACAAAACAAAACATAATTCCTCCTTTTAATTAGCTTCGGGTATTACAACCATGGCGAGTTCGCTATGTTATATCTTCATTTTATTTCAGCAACCTTATCTTCCAGCAAACGCTCTGGGCAGCAATTTCAACATTTAAAAAAAAAAAAATCTACATTTGCCAGCAACACTGACTGGGTGTATCCTATGGCTTACCTTTCCTACTAACATAATTCCTAAATTCCCGAGACATTTATGAGGGGTCGTAGAGTTCTCTGCATCTCTCTTAAGTAAATGTTGGACTAACATACCTTTCCTATCCCTACCAGTTATAAGTACGTGGCCAGGACAATCCTGAACTTTTGGAGCGGGATATGTCTTTATCTGGGAGATAGTAATTATTTCCTACTTACTATTTGTCCTTTTTTAATAGTTTTGAATTCGTACCGCCTACGCTATTGCGCTATTTTGTGCACTATGTAGCAAAAATTTCTAATATCCATATCCAGATTGCGCTAGCAGAGAGAGAGGCATAACTGAAAACTTCATCTTCACGTAGTGTTCATGTTGATTGATTTAAGAAAAAATAAGTACATAACGTTTTCATGATTGTTCAAATGTAAATACTCAGAATAAACTTCTATGAATGATAAATAAGTGAACAAACGGTGAGAAATCTAGATCCTGATTGACACGTGTTACATAAGTGGTTCTAGGCGATAGCCAATATTGTTGAAACTTGTGCAGTGGCAGTGGCGAAAAAACAAACGTTGTAAAAGAAATGATATCTGCACCACACATGAGAAAAAAAACATTGTGTCAGGAACTGCAATGGTATCTTGCTATTCTATTTCAAAAACAAGATTGATGAGATCATAAAAAAATAATACTTTTTCCTATTATTTACTGTATAAAAAAAAACATCATTAGCGAAAACCCATCATTTTATCTCAAGTTCATCAAGTACCTCTTGAAAAATTCGGCACACAGTCGTACTTTCTATGATACTCTCGTTTCCTTCGTTTGCGGCCGTTAATGATGTCGCTGAGCTGTGTTGATGATACCTGGTCTTGTTGCTGCTGTCGTTGCGTTCCACTTCTTTTTTTTTGTCTATATGTCACCAACCACTACTCTCTAGAAATCTCAACTTCCGTCGAAAGCCACGCGAGAAATTACAACAGAAAATATATTTATCGTCGTCGGTTTGCCACAGGAAATGGTGTCTAGGCAAAATCCTGACCACTGATGTTCCGACGTGCACCGTAGCTATTTTTTACGACACTTTATTTCATCAAATTTTTGTAAGCTTCGTCGCCCCCTGCAAGGTACCACTCGGCTGTGCGACTGTCTAGCGCTGGTTTTTTTCTTCTCCCACTTCTAGCGTACAATTCGACTATAAATTTTACTAACACTTTTTTTTTTCTCTTTATTCTTCTCAACGCATAGCGTTTTTTTTCTTCGTTTCAAACTTCTATTACCAATGAACGAATAACGATTATTTCACTTCGTATTATTTTTATCCTCTTGTGAATTTTCCAGAGCCAAAGAATTCGAAACTTTTCGCCTGTATCATTAGTTTTCCTACACCGACACCTTCGCCACCACTAGTGGCAGTAGCACCAACAGCAAGAAAATATCACCCAAAAGAAGGCAAATTATAAAAAAAAACTTTCTTCTTGCTCCTTCACGCTTCTTGGTTTATGCTGCGGTTTCAAATTACCGGAAATTTTTCACCTCAACTTATCTCTTTCTTTTTCACCGTTTCTAAATTGCCAACCGTGGTTGTCTCCGTTGAAATCCAAGTAAGGATGAAAAATTTTCTTCTAGGTATTCAAATTTTTCCTTGCACACGTAACCGATTTCGTCGAGCTTGACTACCGTGTAATCTTACTCAATGTGTGGTTCCTCACTCCAGGACATTCACTCCGACCTCTCTAGCACTGACACAGCCCACAAAGTTGATGCAATTTTTCACGTTTTTCCGCGATCGTCACCAATTTTGACCCGTTATGGCCATACACTCACTTCGTAGCACCCAGCGCTTCCTTTGTAGTCTCGTATGCACCGCCTTCACTGTCTCCCTGCCTCGCTCCTTGAGGAAAATAAAATCTAGCACAGGAGAATATCCCAAGGAAAAAAACGGACCCACCGCACGGACGATGCACGGACCAATAGTGAAGTGAAATGTTTTTCTCATGAAAATCCGCAGCGAACTGAATTTCCACCCGACGGTTGGGGTAAATGTTCGGTCCGATTTTCGAAAGTGCGGCGACCGAAGTCTCCCGCAACCGACCACCGTGTGGCGCCACCCTCGTCAAGGCGAAGTCATTAGAAGACATGCGCCACAATTTGGCCATTCTCTCGCATCCTTGCATCTGACGTATCATCGACAGATAACTCTCAGCTGACTCACGGCGAACACCGACTCTATCACTCTGTGTTGACGATGATGATTATGCCGCATATGATTTTACGAGCAGCTGCTTGTGCTGCATGCCGATAGTATCCCGTCTTCGGAAAAACGCTATAGGCATCATTCGGTTTGTTGATTGTTTTCATTTCGTGTTGGGAGAATTTTTCCGACTTTTCCGACGTTCTCTTGTTCTCTGTGTTTTTCTCCCCCTTGTCAAGAAGAAGAAAAGCCGCATGGGAGAGCTTGGCATGCGTTTCCTTTGTGTAACTTTTCAAGAGAGATTCCAGCAATCAAATGTGTATCTATAGCTAGAGCTTTAGAATGCAAGCTGATGTAACAATCGTTGGACTATAACAAGCACATGTTGCTGCTATATTTATGATGAGTAACTATATTTAGCAGCTTTCGAACACATGCAATTAAAATATCGGAATTAAATTGCATTCGCCAGATATATCAACAAAAGTTTTTGAATGGAGAAAATTACGGATGGATGAAATGAAGAATTTTTGAGGATTTTCAGTGACGAAAAATATCTGGTCACGTCTTCCTTCGGAAGATAAATAGAGTTGTTGGTTCCGGCTTAGTTAAATAAGTAGCATCCAGGTTATGTCACCTTGTTGGCGTCGGCGATTGGCACAAGTACCAACGTAATATAAACAATAATAAAAAATAGGTTTATTTGACCGTTTTTTGATTATCTTCACATTCTATAAATATCAAATTTATTTATTAGTTTATTTATTATCGTTATTCATCATCTGACATCCTTATGAATCATCACTAATCCTAATTTAATACTATAAGCGCAAGGGAGACGGATTGCCCGTTGAGATGTTTGTTGGGGATAATGTTGATAGTTTACCCAGTTCACGAGAAATTTCTATGGGATTTCTCAGTCTATGAATTTACTACGTTTTCAAGAATAAGAGTGAATTATTCGCAAATTTTAGTCGACCTCATTTGTCGTGGAATCGTAATTTATCTTTTTATTAATTGCTATTAACGTAAACGGCGTAAATGGATGCATTCCTAACTCCACTTATGTTCAATTCGTTAAAAGCAGGTCTGTTTTGCCCGAACATGACTTTTACTGACATTTCAAATTTAGCATCTATTTTATGTACACCTCCCCCCCCCTCCGTTACACGTAAAACTTCTGCTAATTTTATGCGACTCAATTACAGACATTGCTGAAATTCACAGACATTTTTCGCAGACTTCTGAAAAAAAATTTGGCATCTTCAATTCCCAGTCATATTCAACATCTCTCTACGACACACAGTGGAATAAATAAAAAACGGGATTAAGGACTGTTCATTAAAGAAAGTGGACACCAGTTTATCAATAGAGTTCTCTACCACCGTTAGTATTAGTGAGAAGTTTAACTAATACATGCATTTTACTGGTTGAAAATAAAAAACAAACCACTGTCAAGTCGAACACTTTGACAGCTGATTTCGTGGTTGAAAATAATAAACAAATCGATTTTACACGGCTACGCTCGCTAGGTTGTATTAGTGAGATCTTGCGTCGAGAAGTCAATGATTTAGGGTTAAAACTTAACGAAAAATTATGAATTTTCGCTCAGTGTGTAAGAACATTGTTTATTTTGGCAACACACCTGAAAAAAAAATGAGAAATTTCGAACGATTATCGGCTCGCAGATTCATTCTACATTAATGGTTTTCCAAAAAAATGTCGTTTCGAGAGTTGGCAAAAAGTGTGCAGTGCAGTTAATCAACAGTGTTCAAAAATTTGGAGAAACGTGTTCTCTTGAAGATTTACCGAAATCAGAGCGCAAAAAGGAGGCATCGGACCAGAAAAAGAAACTTGCAGCAGTACGCCTTTTGAAATCGCATAAACCATGTTCCTTTCGTGAAATTGCCAAGCAATTGGACATTAGCGTCGGAACTGTGCAGAATATCAAAAAACGTAACAATATCAGAACCTACAAGAGGCAAAAAGCAGCCAAAAGGACGGATTCACAGAAAGCTTCTTCAAAAATACGGTCACGGAACTTGTATGACGTTCTCCTTCAAAAGCCAAAACGGTGCATTTTGATGGACGACGAGACGTACGTCAAATTGGATACCAGTACACTTCCCGGGCCGCAATTTTTCAACGCTAGCAGAGGACAGATGTGCCTGATAATGTGCGATACATCCAAACCTAAAACAATTGAAAAAAGGTTTTGGTGTGGCAAGCCATTTGCTTCTGTGGCTTGAAGAGTTCTTCGTATTTCACAACGTGCACAATCAATGGTGAAAATTACTGAAAAGAATGCATCAAAAAGCAGCTTCCACCCATCTACCGAAAGCATACGGATCCTCCATTATTGTTTTGGCCGGATCTGACATCTGCTCACTATGCTTCTGCTACGTTGGAGATGCTCAAGATGGAAAAGTCGATTTTGTCGAAAAATTCTAAAATCCCCCAAACTGCCCTGAACTGCGTCCTATCGAAAGATACTGAGCAATAATTAAACGGTATCTTAAAAAAGATGGAAGAAAAGCAAGCTCTGTTGACTGCTTCAAGAAAATTTGGTCTGCAACAAATTTGGGCGGTATTAATAGAAAAGTTCGAGCGTTCTTCAGAAATGAGAAATAAACATTCAAACTCTCGTGAAATCGGTCATACATATTCACATATTCATTTATATAAAGTATATAAAGTAAACTTATGAAGTTGTTCGAAAATAAATATTTTCCTTTGAGAAACAGGTGTCATTGATTAACCGTCCTTAGAAGTCCAAAACTACAGACTGGTTTTGTTTTGTTTTGCCTAGAATTTAGACTGCAATGTTTAATGCATCGTTTGGTAGCATATTGCCATTCAAAAGGATTGTTCACTCTCATTAGAAGAGGTTAGAATTAACTGTATTTTTGATTTTTTTTTTTTTTAAGTGTTAAGAGGACGACGTAGGAAGACGACACCCATCAAACATTAGATCACAAACGTTTAATTGTGTGATTGTTGGGTATCAAAAGGAAATGCGAAAGTACGTATCTCTTTTATTTCCGATCACAGCACTAATAAATATATCCTCCACAATAACACTGGACACTGGATTCAAAAAATGAACACATAAAGTAAAATTAAGTGAAATATATCATCGATCCGGAATCAGGGACGAGCCTTCGAATCTTATCCATCAAAAATCATGTCTTGAAATGTTTGACCGTGACACATAAAAATAATTATTTCAACTTGAAAAAAATGTTATTGTTATGCACAGTTCTGTCATGTTAAATTGAAAGCTGCTTACTCACATTCCTTTCATATGCGTCCATAATTGTAATGTAGGAATGTATTTGTAACATGTATGCACAATTTAATCCCTTCGAATAAACACTGAGGTATGGGTATAAGTCTGGGTCAAGTTTGATTTGTGGAGCACAACCCCTTGTTCCCACTGCTCTTCCCATTTGTATTGAGGCCCCCATCAACGGTGCAAAATTATATTGGATTTGGTTATGATCTGAACTTGCGGGAGAATTTTATATTTTGAATGGAAAAAATTATGGGAAACGAAACTAACCTATTGATTCGCTTGCCAAATACACTGAAACCTCCGTTTTCGAAGTCTTTTTTTACACAGTATTCAATTTACGACCCTCTTTTTATGAAGTAAATCCCAAATAACGAGTGTTATTTTTACGAAGTAAATTTCAAAAAACGAGCTTTTTTTGTGATTTTAGGAAGCTGGGAAATACTGTGAACAATATGAATATTTTTAGAATCTGAGTGACATGTAGGAACTTGAAATCCATGTTGACGCCATTTTGAAATACAAAATGGCGGCTTCCGGTAACAAAAAAACTGAAAAATACTTTGACTATATGTTTAGTATTGCTTCTGCGTGAAGTCAACGATTTACATAGTTGAAGATGCTAAATTCAAATAACAGACGTTAGTGGTAATTTTTATACGATAGATGGAGTAGATGAAAGTATAGAGTTGATAGTTCCGTTAGAGTACGGCAGTGTGATAATTGCATATAGATAGTAGAATAGCGAGCTAGGACAACTTTTAAGGAAGGTTCACTCGGCTGTCGACATAAGCAGATCACTCTCAATGTGTGTCACGCGATCGTCTGTTTACTCGGCAGCAACCATTGTGTGGTCCTCCTCATTATTCTTCATCAGCAGTTCTTTCAGTCGATGCGTCGTCGACTTTGGAAAGCAACCGTTTCGTGATGAATGTGTGAGTGCTGACCACGTTTTGCGTCCATTGCTACAATGGAAGCACTCTGACCATCGTTGGCGAATCTGCCATACAAGTAAACCACTGGAAGCGGCTCCCGTTCTGGTAGAGGCGGCTCATTGGATAGCGGAAGATAAAATGTTTATTGTGTTGTACCTTTTGACTATAGTTTTAAGATGTATTGTATAGTGAACAAGAATCCTCGGCTCTGTAAAGTTAATTCGGTTGAGCCTTATCAAATAAATAAATTAAAAAAAAAAAAAAAAAAAACTTTTAAGGAAGGTACAAATCGGTTTTTTCATTTCTCTTTACCAAACTCCCCCTTTGGAGAGGGTTGGTGAGGGGTGTCCCCCCCCCCCCCACCAGTACTTTATTAGGTTTTACCAGATTCTTATTTAACTGCAACATACAGCGGAAGCGTTAAAGCATGTGCGGGAACAAATCTATTATTTACTGAAAATTACGTCCAAGTTAATAAACAATGATGTTGTACCACAGTTGAAAAGATCAGATATAATAGAGCGCTTTCCCAGCGCATGTTAGTAATTAAGCTTCCTGTACCAAAAACAACATTA